CACAACTGCACATAGGAGAGCACTGTTCAGCAAGGGTTAACTTGCTTTCCACACACAAACTTTGCATGAAGGTTATTTTTGTCTGTCTATATTTTGTTCTAGGAATGGCCTTCCTATACCGCAACTGTAACAATAATTTGGAGTCCCTTGTTTTTGCAAAATACACTACACACTGTAAAAAAGACCAGAGGAGGATTTTTTTTTAGAGAGTGAAACATGCAGTTTTCACAGCTTGCCAACAGCACCCGTCCTGTAAATTATCCCAAGGCTGAAGGCCACCATATACACAGGGAAAGCTTTTTGACTTTCAAGGGACCAAGTCAGCTGAGAGCACTTGTAATCTCACAACATAACTGCTATTATTCTATCAGAAATCAATAAAGAAACATTACAAAGGAACAATTAAAGGAATTGGTTAAATCCAAAAAGGGAAATTCGCTTTTTTCTTTGAGAAAAGGTTTTTATAACATGCTTGAAAAAATATCCCTGTATCGTAAGGTATCACAAAACYCATGTTTTTTCTTGTGCCAACAGAAGATATATTTAGTATGTTCAAAAAGTACGTAGCCTTACCAATTGGTAGGGAAAGAGCACAAGAACTAAAAATATGTGCTTCCCTTTTAAGTATCGAAGTTATTAATGTAAAATATACAGTCAGACTAAATTTATGCATTTATCTTCTTGAGTTCTCTGACAGCATGAGATACACAATCTCTCTGTGAGAATAATGTAACAACTGAGTGAGAAGAAAGATCATCAGGAATTCTATGCTGATTTTTGTGTTACCTATTCATGTTCCTTACATGTCAGTAAGCATTGTAATAGCTTTCTTAAGCTATTACAGTTCAGTTTTACTTACCAATAGCCATGAAATTAAGATTCTCATGGACAGTCAGGCAGGATACAACTGTGGGCTTGTTACCTGGTATTGCTGGAAAAATTCGTGTGCAAAGAGGATTACCACCATCTCGTTTCTCTAGGTTCCAGACTTTCACCTACAAACAATGATGATCTGGCATAAGCAAAACATGGGGTATTAGAAGGCCACAACCAGGCATCAAAATGTTCTAGTACTCAGGAAGAACAAGCTACTTAAGGYAAGAAAGGGCAACTGAGATCATTACAATAGTCTTAAGAAAGACCTGTATTACAAGTGCATTTTCCACTTTGTCATTTGACTTACCAAAGGGTTAATACCCTCTTCATCCTCACCAACAGAAACCAGGATACTGTGCTGCTTCAGCTGGTACAGATGCGTTACTCTTAGCTTGTAAGCCTGGAAACTGCTGAGTTGAAGGGAGCGAGGCAAAAACCAAATTTGACCTTCCATATTTAGATCACAGTTAAGGAACATAAGGGGAAAAGGAGAAAAAAAAAAAAGAGAAAGCCCCACACCTCCAATCATACAACAAACGCCATGTTTCTTGTTGAGCCCTGGCAGAGCTACCGCAAATACTTCCGCAGAGCAAGCCCGGAGCACCACCACATCCAGGGCGATTTGGGTGGGTTTTTTTCTCAAGAAAGGACAACGGAGAGCGGAAAGCTACCGCATTCCCAAGCCCGGAGTATCCTTCAGCCCGCGCTAGACAACGCCCAGGACTCGCCTGCGACGGACCGAGCCCCGCGCAGGCCACTGCGCCCGGCCCCAGACAGGATATCTCCGAACACGAGGCTTCCCCGGCCCGAGTCGCAGACTGCGATGCCCGAGGGCAGCGCGAAGGGCTTCGCAACGGCCCCATCCGGCCCCGACGGCTCCTTCACCGTCTCCCTGTCAAAGAAGACGAAGCGCCGCCACTGCAGGTAGGCGGCCATGCTGGAGCCCGCCCCTCACGTGGCCGAGGCTCCGCCCCTCGGGTCACGCAACGGGGCGCGTGGGGGGCGTGGGCGGGGCAGCTGCAACGCCAAGCAATTTGACTAGAATTTTGAACATACGTATTGAAAAAACATCACAGAGCCTGCTAGGAATGTATAACTTAAAAGGATGTCAACAACCTTAATTGAGTCATTTTACGGTAATATTATTGCATTAAAGTAACGCATATATAATCGTTTTAATTTGCCTCTCTCCAACAAGGCCTTAATAGTACATACTAAAAGGTTTGGCATTTAAATGTGGATTAAAACTAATGAAATCTGGATATCTGCTGTGAGCTCATCAGGATATGACTAATTATTTCTGTGTTATTTGTGACAGATTGAGCTTCTTGGCTTAACAAAAGCATATTGTAAATATATTTTAAAAAAGGTATAGCTTTGGATCTRTGTGTAAATTAGTTTCAACGCAACACCAGCAAAACAAAATGCATTTAGCATTTGTGTACTTGTGCAGTAATTAATTTCATTTTAACTGCACACTTTTACAGCTCTGGCCCCCTCGGTACTGCTGCTCAAAGTGCAATGTTATTGTTTAGACTCTCAAGTACATAGACACCATTATGGTAAATTCTGTCTGAAACTTTTGTTAAATTGTTGAACTTAAGCTTTAAGTACTATTAGGTTTGCTGTTAAATCTTTAGGCATAAACCACTGGTCAAGGGCGGGGGGAGGGGTCGATGTTGAACCTTATGACTCAATTTACCCTTTCCTATCCTTACCGGTTTTCCCCTTCTCCCTCAGCCTCCATGTAGATAATTGTGGGTTGATTTTGGGTTTAGATCGAGTGTAGTCTGCTTTTACTCCATGTGCTTTAACCATGTAGGCCTTAGCAGAGTGAACCTTGCCACCCGAATTTCACACTGCTTTTGCTTTTACATTAAACCTGCTATGGCCAACTCCTTGGCTGGTGATTTTTCAAGCATCTTTAAAATGCTTATTCCAACCCCCAGAACCACAGCACACACAAGGTCTCCTGCAGTAAAAGCAGCCATCAGGCTGACTCTTGATGAAAGACATGAGGACACAGCCTCAGTAAGATGTGCAGTGCTGCTCTGGCCCCTTGCAGAAACTCTCATTGCCAAAGTCAAAGCTAACTTGGCACTGCACCCAGATGCTACAGAGAGTCTTCCAGTCTAGTGGAGACAAGACTGTGGAACATCAGACCCCGGAAAAACAGCTGCCATGTAGAGAGTCTGTGCAGGAAAAGAATGCCTCTCATGGATGGAGGAGAGCACCTCTCCATTTAGCGCCTGCTTCCTTTTCTTGAAGCTTCTGTCCAAAGCTTGTCACATCCAATACAGACCGTAAGTGTCTCTAAGGAGACCAGCATGCTTTTCATTTTTTACAGCCCAGTAAAAAGATAAAAAAAAAAACCCACCAAAAAGAAAAGAAAACAGAACCAATGGGAGTTCCAGGGAGCTTTTATTGAGTTTAATCAACAAGATCAGGATTTTACCATTCACCTTTTTTGCACTCACAACTCATGAAGCTCTTCACAAGTCAGTGCTGCAACACATACAGAGCCAGAAAAAACACATTCTCAACAATATCTGAGCTCCACTGGAGAGTTTGCCAATTGCCAATTTAAGAGAAAGCCAATTTTCCCCTCCCTCCCCTGACTGTTTTGAAAGACTAGACCATATTGTTTGCTGGTTAACAGTAAGAATATCAACCCCTTGTCTAGGGTCCACTGAATTATGACACTCCACTTGAATTGCAAATAATTTCTTTTCTTGAAATAAAAGTTCCAGTTTCTTTCAATAAGGGGAACAGTGACTATTTTCTTCTCCTGACACCCCTTCCCCAAAATTACTGGTTAAAATACAGCAAAGCTGTATCTTAATAAACCCATCCCTCACTCCTCCCCCCACCCCCCTTTACCCTTCCCTAACTTGTCTACAGCAGAATTTAACAATGCTTCCACAAAGAGGCATTTTAGCAACACAACGATGAACTGAGCAAAGCCTACAGGATAATCTGCCAAAGCCTCCTTGTGAAGTTCAGATGCATGCTCTTTGGTCCAGAGACCTGGCTGATTACAAAGCTAAACTGTGATTCAAAAAAATGGACCAGAAGTTCACAGCAAACAGAAAACTCCCTGCAGGGACTACAGTTCCCCAACCTCTAACATGGCAGCTGTACTGCCGGAGTTTCTGGGAACAAAATTCACTTTGTTCTCAGGAAGCAATGACCAGTCAGCTCCAGCTGCACTACAAAGTTCAGCATCAGGGCAAGAACCACCACAACAGCTGCTCACGACATGTAGCATGACAGCACCATAACCTCTCCTACAGAAACTGTGGCAAGACAGCCATCTGCTCAGGTTTGTGTCCTACCAGTCATTTGTAAAGAAAAGTGTTTGAAGCATTTTTAAATCCTTGGAGCAGACACCCTCCCCCCCATCCCAAATAAAAATAAACAGAAGATCAGAATGAGATGATTTCATACCACCATTTACATAACATGAATTCATGTCAAGCTTCCCTGTTCTTACCCACCAAAACAGYCACAGAGGGCAAGGAAAGATGCTCCCATCTCATTCTGGAAACTGAAACACATATTTGAGACCAACCCACCCCCACTCCCATGGGAAAAGGCCTCCTGCTGCCGCGGTGCCCACCTGACGAGACACCCAGAGATCGGCCTACAGTTTCTCTTGAGTGGCTGAAGATTCCATCACCCTCTTCACAGCCACCCTACCCAGCTGTGAAGCATCATTTCACAGATTCACAGAGTGACACTTCTAGACTTCCAACAAAAAAAAAATGCAGAACACATCAGGTTCTCATTCACATCAACTCTATCAGAGGAAGTATTTGCCTGGGGCTGGGGCTCATCACTGAAAGCTCCAACTAATCCATCTGTAAAGGCTGGTGACCAGCAACAAATKGAGCTCACAAGAAATCTCAGGAAGCCGAGATTTATAAACGCTCTTTACTCTTGGGTAGGGAACAAAACAACCAACAAAACCCCAGAACAAAATAATAAGAAAACAAA